CCTGTCCATGATGCATCGCAGCCTGAATTTGCAACCTGTCCATGATGCATCGCAGCCTGAATTTGCAACCTGTCCATGATGCATAGCAGCCTGCCTCAGAACCGGCTCCCTGGACTCTATACTGGGTTAGAAGCTGGAAGACAGATGGATGGATAAATGCAATATGGATTCACCAATCCCTGTCCAACGACATCATAGCTGCAGCAAGATCACACTGGGTCTTTTGCATTGTGGACGACACCCATTACCTTCCCCAGAGCAAACACAATGGTATATCCCCTAGTCAAAAATGCATGCAGTTGCAATGTATAGTCAGTGTTTCCAAACCCGGTCCTTGGGGGGCCACCAGACTGTTCACATTTTTGCTCGCTTCCGCCACACCTGAACCAAACAATCAAGAACATCGAACACCTGGTACGAGTGTCCTGGGGGGGGAGAACACGGACAGTCCGGGGGGGTCCGCAAGGACTGGGACTGAGAAACACATCTAAAGTGAATGGAAAGAGTTTCACAGAGAAACAGAAGAGGGCACCTGCCACGGAAGTGTCATCGGCGTGCTGGAGAGCCAGAGGGCCGGGGTCTCCATGCAGAGACACTGCGAAGCGTGCCGAGTGGCAGATGGTGGGGGTGGAAGCGTAGGACCCGGCATCTGAAGGCCGCTCCGCGTTTCCGCGCCTCTTTGTTTCATTCACATTTGGCATTTCACAGCAGCAGCCCACACTGAGACATTCACGAGCACAGGCTCTGCTAGACATCCTCACGCCTTTATTCAGCTCAAACTGGCTAGAACCTGATTTTTCCAGGCACAGCGGAACACTGATAGTACATTCATCCAGTAAAGCCATCACTTGCCATGACAATCCATTGAACATATAACTTCTCCGAAATACTCTATTTCAACTTCTATATGCTGGTAATTATGAAACAATAATTGTAAAAAGCATATCAAAACAATTTATTAGGGGATTTGGAGAAGGATATACTTCAGGAAAAACTATGTTGATTTAATTTACATTTACAGAAAACGGTAAAACTTTCAAATTCAAAATTTACATTATAGATTTTAATAAAATCAAAAATAATCATTCATGCGCAAAAACTGCCTTTGCCATTCACTGAAAAGATGTCTTTAATGTCCCTCGCTGAAAGAGCTTTGTACAAACATACAAAAATAAATGCGGGAAGCAGCAGTCAGACGACCAGTTTATCCGACTGGTTTTTACCTACAGCAGTGTTTAACTTCCCAGTCCTTGGGGGCCCCAGACAGTCCACATTGTCACTTCCTCCCAGTGGGCTCTCTGGGGGCTCCTTGAGGACCGGGCTGGGAAACACTGACCGCCAGTGCTGGCTGCAGTGACCAGGCAAACCTCACACCAGTTAGAATGTGAGCAAAACATGAAAGACGAGAAAAGGCTCTCCAGCGTGCGGCTGGCATATGTCATAGCTTCTTGTTGCGGATGTCGACCACATCTCTCCGCTCCTGCAGGAAATTCTTGAAGGCCGTGGCCTCCTTGCTCTCATCTGTGGCTGAAGGACAGCAGAGAGACAGAAATGGGCACTGAACCTCAAGCCTGGAGGTGTCACATTAGAACACAGCGTGAGGCGTGTCGTCCCCAAACAGGAGGCCAGTGTGAGGTGGGTCAACATGTGACCAACGGCCTCATTTACGTGACGAGCCTCCGAATTGAGGACATTGTAGGGGGGTGGGATGGAAATAAAAAGATAGCATCTATCATTCCAGTAACGCCATTATGGTGGCACTTAGGCCATGTAAAGCCAAACGTACCTGTATGGTCAATATCATCAGTGTCACTGTCAATCTCCTCATCCTTGTCATCCACATTCCCCCGGGTGAAGATGAGGTCACTGGGCCCACTCTGCTCTGAAGCTTCTAGAAAATGTGCAATTGCGCAAAGAAATCAGCTGCTACCACAAAACTAAAGGACAAACGAACAGAAACCCGGGGGGGGGGGCATTATTATCACAAAACCAGCTGAGAAACTCACTGTGGCCGTCACCTTATAAATGACGGGACCCAAAAGCAGACCCCAGCAGGTACGGCCTTCCTCAATCAGCTGACTTTTGAGACAAACCGACTTCCTTATTTGTCTATGCAACATTATTTAGTACCCAAGCTTCAACACTGCACAAGGAGAGGGTCACACTAACCTGTTGCAGTGCAGGTTTCCATGGGAACAGCTCCCATATCCTTTCTTAGTCGTTCTAGCTGTTCATGCTGTTTTTTGTTCTGGGCTTCGATCTGAGGTAATCACGCACCAAAAGAGAGACAGTCAGTGACACACACGGTTCCACTCGTTTGCTATTCCGCTTCCCTGTTTTTCATATGGATTGAGCTCGACACATCACACACGGGGAAACCCTGCAGACCCCTTTGAATGATCTAGATTTCCTCACAAATGGCTCCAAAAAAGTGATTTAATCCAAGGTATACCAATTACTATTTAACACACAACACAGAGTCCAACATACGAAACAAAAGTTACCACAGAGTGATTGCGGCATGGCTCAAGTTTCCTAAATACCAACTGGATGTTCCACAGCAATAATGGACTGATGTTCTATACATAGACAAGCACCAAGTGGGATTTTCTGGTTAAGCTACAATACTTTAAAAAACATGAAAGCATGACATTGTTGCACTAAGGTCTCATCCCAGCCCAGAAGCATGGTGAAGGAACAACATATAAAGCTGTGATCCTGTATTGTGGTTTGTGCGGCTTGCACACATTGAGCAACTAATGAATTGCAAATAGTATCAGAAAATCCCACAGTAGAATGTCAGTGATAAAGTCAAAAGAAGCTAGGTCACGCAGCATGACAGTGATCCAGAAACAGGAGTAAATCAACAAGAAAACAGCTCAAATGGCAGAGGTGGAGGTCTCAGGTCCAGAGAATACAAATCCAGACCAGGATTTTGTTTCAACCAACCAGTTGAGTATAAAGAGTCACAGTCACAGAGTCCTCAACTGGGTGGTTGAAGCAAAATCTTGGTCTGGATTTGTACTCCCTGGACATGACACCTCCCACCTCTATCAAATGGGATGCCTTCCATACTTCAGAATGGCCAAGTCAGACCTCAGTTCCACTGAAACGTGGGAGTGTCATCAGAAGCAGCCCATTCAAGCAAGTCGTAGCATAAATATGAAAAAAGTCAAACAGATCTTAATGACGCAAAATACCACCGGACCACTGCAAAGGTCCAATGAGTAGGTAAAGAAAGCAATTCATTGCATTTATTGCCAATAAAGGGATGTTCACATACTTTTTCCATCAATGATTGTTTAAACTGCCTGTTACATAAGACTATCTACAAACATAGATGAAGATAATGCAATTTTAGAGCCATTGATGCAGCAATTCAGATAATTCCAAAGGTTACGCAAATCTTTTCTCATATCTGTATATAGTAACATATTTAGTCACCAAAAGGTACCTGCAGTGACTTGCCGATGAGCTGAATCACTTAACAGAAGGAATCATCGGACGCCTCCCTCTTCCCAAGCAAATGTACCATTTTAAATTCCGTACCAGGCTTGACTGTCCACCCACGCTTAAGCAGGGTGAGATGTCCTCTGATTAACCCCATGCCAAGCCAATCACCTCCTCTGAAGAGCACATTTTACCAGGTGCTGTGCAAAAGTGCCTAACCTGCAGGCCCCTGACGGGTGAGGAAGTGAGTATTGATCAGCCTACATTAGCGGTTCCCAACCCTTTTGCTCCCTCCCAGTTGCCGGTAGGTAGGGAACAAAAACGTGGATCATCTACAGGTCCCTGAGGACCGGAGCGGCACACTGGGCTACATAACCCAGCCGATTTTAACCTGGACCACCCTCCTGCACATGGCAATCATGCTCTGGAATCCTGACAACCAGGATGAACACCAAGAAACAGCACGACGACATCACAGCTGACGAGGAGAACTGTGCTGGGACAAGCATCTAAAAATGCGATACAGATCTGCCGTCGATAATAACGGAAGCGATGTGAGCAGACTGAAGCGCAAAAAGAAAGAAAAATGTTTCGTATGCAATTTATATATTGGCTTACTTATATTTCATTTAAACTATATAACTAGTATAAATTATTTTGCTGCTACTGCTACACTGACAGGCAAAACCAAAATTCAGACACTTAAATAATCAGGAAATGGCACTGCAATGTGTCACAACCTGTAGCTACAGTAAGCAAACTCATACTTGTCTCAGTTAAACTATGATGTCCATGTGTATATGATGCATCATTCTTATTGATACAAATAAAAATCTCTCCATGTTTTTATTCAGGGAATGACGTACAGAGCACATGATACTTACCAACTCTCTGTGAAGTCTTTCGTATTCTGGCCGATATTCCCTGAAAGGAGATACACCGTATTGTGTTACACGGACTTTAATGTTTAATGGCACACAGCAGCCACTCCACCGACATACCATGAACCGTCACAGACACATTACTTTATTTCAAGTCACTGCAGATGCAGTTATTCTCTATTATTTGTTACATTGTTTCTCAACCCAGTCAGTCAATGTTTCTGCTCCCTCCCAGCACACCTGAAACAAACAATCAAGCAATGAAACACTGTATACCTGGTACAGCTGTGCTGCCAGCTGGAAGGGAGCACAGGAAAGGACTGGCTTGAGAAGACACTGATTTGGACCATATCAGATCCATGCCATCTGGTACATTCGGCCACGTGCCATGCTCGTACACGACATATTTTAGAAACGGAAAGATGGCCTATCATCTCAGCAAAAATGCATTTCAGACGTCTTTATCGGCTAGTGAAAAAGTAGTTCAAGCAGAAAGTCCAGGTAGTAGGGGAAGTTGGGTGAGAGCACAACTCCTTTGTCAGGGTTTTATAATGGAGATTACTGGGCAGAGCCGCTGAGTCAGACCCCGTGGCACATCAAGCCACTTGCTGGGCCGACAACTCAAGCCTGTTCAACGTGGGCCAGGTTTTAGGATTATAGATGTGGATTTTGTGTGTTCAGATAAGCTCCCTCCGAGCATAAACCCTCCACATGCTTTACATGCCGACGACTGATGATGCTTCAAAGGAAAGAGCACTTATTTAAAAATAACTCTTAATCCCCCCCTCTTTTAATTAACAAAGTTGCGTAACGTAAAGGACGCGCCGTCTCAGAATAGCAGGAACTTGGAGCCCAGCTCGCAAACTGTTTACAGAGCAGATAGCAAACACAGTTGTGCCCTGGCAGGTTTTTCTTTAAAAAAGAACTATTGCGGGAATTTTGCCACCTCCAAGCGGCGAAAAGCCCAGAGAGAAATCCACAAAGGAAATGGAAAAGCAATTTTACATGACTCACGTTTCGTACTCTTTCGCAGCCTCTGACACCTGCACAAACATCTCATCCAGCCCACTGCCCGTAACAGCAGATACTCCAACCACCTGTGTGTGGAACACAAACCAAAGTGCACAAGAGAAACTGGCAGCACATCGTGCCCAAGGTCTGATAAAACATGCATTTTCAATTGCCGTTCTAATATCCTGCACTTGCATATGAATAGCCCCCGCTAACAAAGCCTGGGACATTAACATTTTCTTTATTCAAGAGATGTTTACTGTCAGCCCATTAATATACATGTATTCATCTAGGACGAAAAACATTTCTGTGTACCGTGCTGTTACATTTACATACTAAATAATGTACCAGGACATACTAACATGCACATATTAACTACACAGTATACTACATTTACAGCGACTAGACGACATGCTGCATACTACACTAAGACATGACGCGACAGTGCTAGAACTTGATGGAAACTGTGTACAAGTGCAGACAGGGCAGTGCAAGTATTGCTCTGATTTAGGACGTTAATTTTTTTTAAAGTATCCTTGTGCAATGAGTTTGGGATTAGGTAGCAGTGCAAGGAGGTGGAAGGGTGTTCAGTCCCCAAATAAAAACTTAAGATGATATCGAAATTTATTTTTGAGTAGTTGAGTAGTTCTTTTCCTAGTACCCGTAGATTGCTGTAGAACTCATCCAGGACCAAACTCATAGAGCGGGTCAGATTGCTGACGTAAGATGTCTCCTGGTTCAGGGAATCCTGAAACGCTTCAAAGTCTTGCATCCACTCCACTGCAAAGCTGTGATCGATTATGTCTGTCTGGAGTACCAGAAGGACAAATGAATGTTAGGGCACATTATCTCGGAACTCTACAGGAAGACTGATAGTAGCCGTTTTTGAAACCATACACAGCAACAAAGACAAACTAGTTTCTTGATGCTTTCTTTTACGTACATCCATATACATGAATGGACACATCTAATGAACACTGTACTTCCTATATCACTTCAAAATATCAAGGCTGAAATTAGCCCAGTTCTCACCACATGAATCATAATCTGCACAAATTATTTAAATGAAATCCTTGGTTGCATGATTAGTCTAAAGCACCTGAGAAAGCTTTGATTCCAATTTCTTACATATTCAAAGCATTACAGCAGAGGCAGCAACACAAACCCTTAAAAAAATTGACATTAAATATACATAGACATGTGCACAAACATTTTGACATTTTATTACCGTAAATTGTTGGTTGCTAACGTTACAGAAAGCAGCACAGACTTTATATCCATACCTTATTCATAACCACAATGAAGGGAAGCTTGGTCTTGTACAGAATGCTGTGGGAACAATGTAACAAGATGAGAAACACCGAACAATGTAATAAGATGAGAAACACCGAACAATGTAATAAGATGAGAAACACCGAACAATGTAATAAGATGAGAAACACCGAACAATGTAATAAGATGAGAAACACCGAACAATGTAAAAAGATGAGAAACACCGAACAATGTAAAAAGATGAGAAACACTGAACAATGTAAACTTGATGTCATTTGTAACTGGGGGACTACATTTTATTAACATGTTGTTGTAGTACAGCAGGCTGTTCAGGACAATTTGCCACTTATAAATATAAAAACTGATTAGCGTAATACAGAGGCAATGATCCTGAGAGCAGTTGATCATAATGGCCGAGTGTGTAGTTGTGCATTCATGTTCCTCTTATTCGTGTTGTGGGGAATGAGAGCAGATGGGACCACTGACCTGCAGGCATACAGCATGTTGGACATGAACGTCACGGGGTTGACGCTCCGGGACGTGTCCATCACATACACGACAACACAGGGGAAGGAGGAGGCCTGTGGGATGAGTGTCACCATCAGCTCCTCTCTGCAGCACCAGCTTTCTGGCCTTACAGCACTCAGGAATGGGCTGACTCACATTAACGATACGTGCAGTTTGAAGCCCCCTTACAGGGCTACAGCAGTGCAAATGGAGAGTAAAGTTGTGGAGGGCAGAGTAAGCGGCATGGCGCTCGCCTTTCACAGCACAGGTGAATGAGACCACAGTTATTGATTACGAGTGTGTCAGAAAGCAGTGGCTGTCCATGGCTGAGGTCAACCATTTAGGTTACACGCGTGTTTTCACATACATACCAGAGCTTCCGTGATGATGGTTCCGGAAGCCGACCACGTGAACACTTCAATCTGCCCTGGTGTGTCGATCAGAACATACCTATAGGTGGATGGATTCCACATTATAATACCAACATTATTTAACAGAAACTTTTTCCAAAGAGACATACGGGTGAGGATGAGAGAGTAGGGTTCAGTAGTATCCCCGGAGCTGACCACTGAATACTTCAATACCTCACACCAGGAAAGTACATTCAGTCTCAAGAGTGCTAAATTAAGAGTCAATTCTGTAAGAAGAAACAGTCAAAAATACTAACAAATTGTGTCAAACTTACTTGTGATTATTCTGTTTTTTCTCAATGAACTTCATAACCTGGGGTTAAGATGTTGAGAAAGCATTATTATATGCAAATTAATACAAAGTGACGCTATCAACAGCAAAGGTGACATCTAGTGGCAAGTGATCAATGCAGCAAACAGGCATTTCTGCTATAACAAGATGAATCCACAGTCGAGTCAAAATCTAAACAAACCATTACATTGAAAATGCTTTACAATGTTAAGCTTGTCTTAGAATCACAACTTTTACATTCCAGAGATTTCACTATTACATTCCTGTAAGCCTTTACACTTCACATCAAGTGCATTCCACCATGGACCAGTGAGATTGGGTGTCCGAGTGAAAATATGTACAAGACAATGAGAGATTTCCATCATAAAGACTCCCCTATTTACGTTCTGGAAACTCACATAATAGCTTCTGTTATTCACATCAAAAGGGTGAAAAGTTGTTTCATTTTATTATTGTTACCTGGTCAAATCTGGTTGCAAACAGATTCAAAGACGTGACTATTCCACCATTAGGGCCCAAGCCATATCTGCATGTACGTTGAGGGAAAATTTAATTTTATCAGCTATGGATCTAAAAACTTTCCACCTACAAGCTCAGTAATTCAGATCAGCTAGTGCCAGTTTCACTGTCTGTACATTATGCTAATCATTTTTTTATATTTAAAACTGGAGAAGCAATTGTTGCGAACAGTCAGTCTGTTGTACTACACAGCATGCTAATAGCACTGCAGTACTAAAGAAGCATGCAAGTTTAAATATGCGATTCTAAAATCCATATTGCAGGACTGATCATTCCACCTTTCCAAAGCAAGAAAAAACCTTGCAAAAGTATAGAATTAATAACAAAAAGGATACTGCTTCATGACTTCTTTGTAGTTGACAGTGTCACGAATATCTGCAAATCAAAAGTGAGAGATTAACCAAGCCGCTAAGTGCACTGTGCATGGAAAAAGCTGGAGATGAACATGCACTGACCTGGTTACGGTTCATTTCTAATTTTACACTAAGTTACTCCACAAATAAAAGATACAGAGGAGAACCGAGTAGACATGTGTACTGTTTAAGCACAGGGGCTGTTTAACACAGCAAGGCAATAAACAGACTTCTTTATGAGTTATAGTTGAGGTGATGCTGATGCACAAACTCAGCAACAGATGGGGCCAGGATTTACACCTGCAGCTGAGTGGAACAGCTAGTAAAACAAATGGACAAGTTTTGTAAAGGTAGAGGTAAAAATGGGTTGCAAAGCAATTAACAGAAAAGAACCAAAGGTAACACTAATGTGTTAAGGAATTAATAGTAACTCTTTTAAGATCAACAAAAGAGAGAGATAATGAATATGAAATTTTGCTCCCTCCCAGCTCCCTGCCAGACAGTCCACATTTTTGCTTCTTCCCAGTTGGGAGTGAAAATGAGGACTATCTGGGGGTCCCTGACGACCGGGTTGGGAAACACTGGTTTAACTGAAAGGCAATTGGTAAGTAGACATCATCACAAAGGTTAGAAGAAACAGAAGACTACCAAAAGCACGCCTCTATATTATTACATTGTTTGACCAGCCAGTGTGAAATTGCTTACCGATATTAGCTGGAAAAGGAACCTCGTGAACAGCGGGGTCAAGATTTATCACATAAGGAGGAGACTTTTTGGTGTGGAGGAAGGCTGTAAGTCGCTGGAAGTAAAAGAACCATCATTTCTTAGGTAAAAAATAATGTACTTATTTTGGTAACTTTACAGCAACCCCTACACGCTACTAAAGTCATTTTTTCTATCCAATTAAAAAAAATTCTATCTGCATAAAAATTGTTAAAAATGATTTTTCAGTAAACCATGTAACATATCAGCTAAGCTTGTCCAATATTTATAAAGTTAATATAGAGTTGAGTTAGCTATCCAAAGGGAAAACACGACTCAGACGTTGCTCCTACACGTGGTGTTTTTGGGCAGATAATGTAAGAAACGTGCACTACAAACATCTCTTCAAAATTGCTCATTATGACAGGCATGCAGACACGCACGAGCCCGATAACGGTAACCGCGAATGACATTAGCGTGCCAGCTAACTACCTGAACAAAAGTGGTCTTCCCAGACCCGGCCATGCCGAGCACGATGAGACACACGGGTTTCTGGTCCAGACATTTTGCCGATGCACACTCCTGAGGTGTTCCCGAATGTCCTTCTCCGCCACAGTCTTCATTTTCCCTTAAAAAAGACCCATCTCCACCTGGACTGCTTGACGCTGCCGCCATCTCTGTCTACGGAAAGCAGTCGATGCCGTAAAGAGGATATACTGTCGTAAAGTAGTCCCAATGTACGACAGTTAGTATTTGTACCACCTCAGAACTGTACCACAGTTTGACAGAAACCTATAACCTATAATTTACGGTGGCTGTACAGATATTTTCAGGAAAGAATGTTAAATGACACATTATATAATTTCTAACATATAGGCCAAGACGCCGCAAACCCTGACCAGGATAGGCGGTTGTAAGACGGATGGGGAAGGAGACAGCGACAGGACGATTACATAATTATTTCAAAATCCTTGTAAAAGGTATGATTAAATTATATTGGATAATGATATTGATTAGATTAGATGCAAAATGATATTCTTATACACTTTAATTCGTGGTCGCCAAAACTAAGGGATGTAATAATAAAAATAGACACTAGAGGGCAGGCTGTCCGTTTTCCCTAGACAAAAAATGTTCAGGTCCTATGAATAAACGCGAAAATGAAGGGAAAAAAATCAGAATATTTTTCTTTTAAAAATGAAGTAAAAAAAATTCTAACATGTTTTGCTTGTTTTATTGTAGCTTACAAGGGACCTGAAAATAGTCATGAAAAGCCACCCCCACTCCACCAGGATTTGGCCCTCCAAAGACAATAATCGGCCAGACCTGATTTTCCCACTCAGCCAGTGCATGGTGGCGATGAGCCATCAGGAAATACACATAAAGTAAGTTACACACTGCATATATGCAATTTAGAGATACTAGATGACTGGGCACTGAGAGAAGGGGGCATCCTTCTTCTTCGTATTATTATTGTTATTATTCCTAAATGCAAGCAGCGCTATTGGAAATAACAGGTCACCATTTACCAATTATATGGCACGGCTTTGGTTGCCTCGCCAGGGATTTTCTTCCGGTAAGTGTTCCAGCCTCAGGGGTCACTGAAAGTGATGACTGTGGAGGAATGTAAACAGAGGAATGGCTGTTATTTAATTTAAGGGTAAGCACCTCTGTAAAGATATGGAGCAGATGTTCAGTGTAAAAATCAAATGCTAACTTTGGGGAATATGGTTTGTGCCTTGAAGGCCATAAATTTGAATGCAATTTAGGATGGCCATCCAGGACAATGTACTGCTCCTTTGATATGGCATGTCCATCCAGGTTTTTTCATGCACCATGTGTGATCTGTTAGTTATTATACTGCAATTTCTGTTCTAATATCATCTTACAAAAATATAAGAAAAAAAAACAATGATATTCAACCAAGTAGCACCAGTAGCATTTAAATTCAGAGGTCAGTGTTCCACTAAATACTGACAAGAATATATATATATATTAGGGTTATTGTTATATATGTTGCTCTCCAAAACAAAAACGCACGAGCCACAATTATTGGCACCCCTAAGAAATTATAGTGAATGCAATGTATCTGAAATATGCTCCCCATGTAATCTTTGAGTTGATTGGAGTTGACTGAGTGGAACGTTCAAACTGTAATCCATGACTTCGTGATTGAATGGGGAACAAACATGAGGTGACAAAGAGGCCAAATACCCTTAGTCATCCATCAGTATGGGAAAGGTAAGAGAAAACACAGACCAAATGAGGGAGAAGTGTGCTGACCTTCATAAGTCAGGGAATGGGTATAAAAAATAGCTACTCGCCTTAAAATGCCCAATTCTACTGTTAGGGCAATAATAAAAAAGTGGACATCAACTGGAACTGTTACAAACCTGCCTGGAAGAGGACCCAAGTTTATTTTGCCCCCATGAACAGTTAGGAGGAATGTAAGAGGCAAAAAAAATCCTATTGGTGAATTAGAAGACCAAGTAAAATCTTGGAGTCACCACGTCTCCGAAAAAGCCATTAGACGCCACCTTCATGGTAACAGATTATTTGGAAGGTGTGCCAGAAGGAAGCCTTGTCTGTCGGTCAACCACAAACGTAAGTGCCTGGAGTTTGCGAAACACTGCTACAACTTTGACTGGAACCATGTTCTATGGTCTGATGAAACAAAAATGGAGCTTTTTGGCAATAAAAATTCGAGGTGGGTTTGGCGTTAAGAGAAGGATAGCTATAAGGGAAATAACCGTATCCCAACTGTAAAATATGATGGAGGTTCTGTCATGTTGTGAGGCTGTTTTTCCTCCAAAGGCCCTGGAAACCTCGTTAGGGTACATGGCACTATGGGCTCTATGAAATACAGGGATATTTTAAATCAAAATTTGGCTGCTGCTGCCAGGAAACTAAGACTGGGTCATTATTGGATCTTCCAGCAGGACAATGATCCTAAGCACATGTCCAAATAAACACAAAAATGGTTGACTGACAGCAGAATCAAGCTTCTGCCATGGCCATCTCAGTCCCCTGACCGGAACCCCACTGAAAACCAGTGGGCTGAGCTGAAGAGCAGAGTGTACAAGAGAGGGCCTCGGACCCTGGGTGATCTGGAGAGATTCTGTACAGAGGAATGGACTCAGATGCCCTGCTCTGTATTCTCCAACCTTATAAAATGTTATAGGAGACTCAGTGCTGGTATACTGGCAAAGGGAGGTTGTACAAAGTATTAAATGCTGGGATGTCAATAGTTGTGGCACATGTGTTTTGTTGAAAATAATTATTTCTCGATGAAGGATTTGTTTTTCTTTGATGAAATTCATTTCAATGAAATGTTGGATTTTTTTCATTTTTTTCATCACTGTGACATGAAGCTACTTATCCAAAAGGTGGATTTTTTTATAACCCCTTTTGCAAATATTTACAAGGGGTGCCAGTTATTGTGTAGGGCACACACAGATATATGTATATGTATATATATATATATACACACAGACACACCTTAATTTTTATTTTTTTATCAGTGTTTTTTCCGTCTCAGGTTTATATGGATAATATGTGGGGTGACGCTGAGAGCTGGAGGGATTTACTTACTTTCATTTTAGACACAGGTGATACAAGCTTTATATATTTGCACTTATTGTGTGCGGAAATTCATACTGTTTTTGCTCCAAACATTCACATGCTCTTCCACATACAACAATAAACAACACACAGGACAATGCAGAATGGGAAACCATCCACGTCACACACAAATGCAATCCCTCTTGCTCAACAGTATGGCAGTAAAATCAGTATGATGCTAGGGGTCAGACACAGCTGGGATATGTCTAATCGTATCTCAAAGAGTTACGGTGGCCCTGCGATTTGCAGTTGTGTAAACGTCATTAACAGTTGTCAGGTGCAGATCCTAGTACATATGACAGTGCGATTTCAACCACTGCCAAGTATGAAAGAAATAGTCCTCAGCAATGCATCTTAAAACCTCCTGTCATCTCTTAGCATCAGCATAGTGGTTTAAAAAAAAGAAGAAACAAAGCAAAGCGTTTTATTAGCTTTTCTCAGGTGGTCTGTCATATGCCACGACGTGTTGCAGATCATAAATAATATAAACACGTGGATATACACATACAGGCAGACATTTGTGAGTGTGCTTACCTTCAGTGCAGATAATCATCATTCCTTCATGGCTCATGTCCAGATGAATCAGTCCTGCCCCTCATTGGCCACAGCTTGAGCATGAAGCGAAATGATATACTGTAAGGGAGCACTGCCAGAGGTAAAAACTTCTAGTTTGGAAATAAATAAATAACAGAGCCTTGGAACAGTTTACACAGTAGATTTGACTTCATTTTGAAAGGTCAGGTCACTGTCTGCTGTTTCCATCACTGACTGGGTTTACACAACCTCTTTTTCCTTTTGTTTATGTGGTTTAATGCTATAGCAGGCACAGAAGGATTTACTGAAAGATTGTATACAGTGATTTGTTTTTTGCCTGTAACATAACTAAACCTTGGCAAGGTAAAGCGTGTATAATACTTAAATTATCATAAAGCATTTTCAACAGCATTCCCACTTTTTTAAGAGTGCAATGTCCCTATTGTAAAAAAGGATTTCATATTCTTTATTGACTCATTAATGAAAAATAATAAATGATAAAGTTTAAACACTGGTGTGTGTCTTCTAACTGCTAAAATGCAGTTAACTTTTATGCATGATTTTCCAGTATCCAGCAAAAATCTTTAAATTTGCAACATTTATTAATGTATGAGTCTTGTTGTTATAGTTCAAACCGTTTGTAATTAAAATGCCTGCTTTGTAAATACATTGTGGTTGGTGTTTGTTGGCCATCCTGAGTTTTTTGACATAAGAATAATATGAATAACAGGAACATGGTTATTGCTGGATGTTGTGTATTTTGTACAGGATATTTCTGATATAAAATATGGGAGGTTTTATTTTACAGTCCATCAGCTGTGTTAGCATGTGATGTCTAAGCACTGATGGATCTAAGGATAACCTGTGTTGTAGACAGCAGTTATCAATGCCCAGCTTTGTTCTCATAATTCCTTATAAAAGCAGAGTACTCTGCAGCTGCTTCCCTAATAACAAAGTTGTGTTCTGCGTCGTGACAGAAATATGACTGTGGACAGAGCCACACCTCTCTGAGCTGAGTGACATACACTCACCTCCCTCTCAGGAACACCACTTTAAACACCCCCTTGTAACAGAATAGCCATTATTATCCATAGGGCTGTGTGCAGAAAAATGGGGCCAGCTATTAAAGTATCACGGAAACTATTTTACATTGTTTCATAATATTTGCATCTAACATTGCTACATGCTCAGGATTCTTTAAAGTAATAGTAACCTTAATTCAATTTGTCTTTTTATTTTAAGTCCCTAACCTGATTTACAATGTTGGTGCAATGCTTATTGTGGCTGGAACTAGGGTCCCATGTGTAAGTGCATTGACAGGAGGAAAGTGTAAAAACTGGTCCGAAATGCTTCAGATTCAACTTCTCATATCTGTGTCCAGAAATGTCTCATTTAAATATTTCTTTTCAAGAAAGTAAAGGATATTTCTCACTCATTTTGCCAACCTATGCACCAAGCTATGTCCTTATTTCTTTCAAAAGCCACACTGAAAGTTTCCATTGACATGCAATGAGGTTAGACCAAAAATATTAGTCAATGTCACCCTAAATTTTCATCTAGAAGCCTACAAAAAGCCCAACTAAACTAGATACTAAAGTAAACCTTGAACAAGTAAGATTTTTTAGAGATTTGTAGCAAAATCCCATAATCAATGTCGGAAATGTGCCATGGAAATGAAATTGAGGTCTCCCCACTCATGTGGTCTGGGAGTACCCTGAGAGCCATATCTCAAAAACTATTCATTGAATTCTTGTGTGACCTTATTTGATATCCATCCATCCATCCATCCATCCATACATTTCTGCTACTTTTCTGAGGTCAGGTCACAGGGTCCAAAGGTGAGGGTAGGAACAACCAGTAAACTGAAGGCTTTGCCTTCCAGCTCAGCTCCCTCTTTCCCACAACAGACCAGTACAGTGTCCGCAGTACTGCTAACGCTGCACCGGTCTGTCTGTCCATCTCCCACTCCCTTTATCCCTCACTCGTAAACAAGACTCTGAGATACTTAAACTCCTCTGCTTGAAGCAGCATCTCATCCCCCACCAGGAAGGGGCAATCCACCCTTTTCCGGTCGAGAACCATGGCCTTAGACTTGGAGGTGCTGATCCGCATTCTGGCCGCCTCACACTCAGCTGCAAACCGCCCCAGTGCAGGCTGCAGGTCTCAGTCTGCCGACGGCAACAGGATCACATCATCCGCAAAAAGCCCAGGATCACATCATGCCCCCAAA